GCTATGAGTCGGTTCCGACTCGATGGCATCTGACAACAACAACAACAAAATCTGTGTAGGAGCAGACTGCCTCCTCATTCTTCAGCAGAGCGGCTAGTGGGTTCAAACCAATGACTTTTCAGTCGGCAGCTCAACACTTCAACCGCTGGAATTTAAAACAGCCCACGGTTCAATTTCCAGCCAAACCTCCAGGGGGCGCAAGAGCACGAACGCACTAGCACGCACACCACATCGGTCAACCACTCAAAATGAAACGGGCAGCATTTACCCAATTCAGAAGGGCTGGGAGACGAGGAGATGTTACATGGCAGGGCGGGGGTGGCCGCAGAGACGAAACAAAGCACACCATTTGTCAAGTGTGCTGTTTGATGGACCTTCAGTTCACGACAAAAAGTTTTTTCAAAAACAGTAAAACAGAAAGCGGACACTGCAGACGCCCCCTAGGGCCACGACCTAAAGGTGCGGGTGAAGGGCTGCAGGGGTGGGCGGGGCCCCAGCTGTGCGTGTACCTCGGGGTGAAATTGCTGCTCCGTGCGCGAGTGGCAATGCTGGCAGCTGTCCCCGCGGTCACACCTCGAGGGCTCACCCCATTCATCTCCATGCTTCACGCTGGGGCAGGGCGTGGACCTGGGGGTGGTCGTGAGGAAGAGGAGGGCCAGAGACCAGGGGAGCAGTGTCTAACTGAAACTGGGGGGTGGCCCAGGTGAGCGAAAGCCCCGTTTCTACTCTGCATCAAATGGCAGGTAAGACTGAGTCAGGGTCCCCCCAGCAGGAAAAGCATCTTGGATAAGCAGCCAAATCTACTAAGAATGAGGTGTGTCGGGGGGGAACAAGGTACGGGGGCAAGGATGAGATGGAGGGGATGAGGCCAGGGAAGGACAAAGTGGGGAGGGGGGAGAAGAGAGACGAAATGAGGTTATGAAGCCAGGGGTGAGGCTGCAGGTGGCAGACACAAGATGGGGGGCAGGTAAGGAGGTAGGGGGATGAGGCAATGAATGGGGCAAGATACCACAGAGGAGGGATGGGGCTGCAGGAGCAAAGTCAGAGGGGGCTGACAGGTCACAGGTGAGGGGAGGCCAGGAGGGGAGAGAGGAGCCACAAGCACCCTACACCTGTCTCCTCAGGTGAGCTGGGCTGGAGGATGCAGGGTGAGTGGGTGGCTGGGTGTGTGTGTCTCTAAGACAGAGGGGGCGGCCATCACTGGATAGGGGTGAGTGCTCAGGGAAGCAGAGGGGCTGTGAGCCACATCCCGGGCCCTCGGGCTCACCTGTACTGGAACCTGCGGGGGTCACGTCTCCTGTCACGGCTGTTGTGGAAGTGTGGGCAGGCGTAGCCCTGGCGGCAGAGGCGCGGTGGCTTCAGGCACTGCTCTGTCTTGTAACAGCTCAGCACAAAGCTATTGTCTGGAAGAGAGACGGCAGCACAGAGCTGGTGCAACGTGTTCACAGCAGGCTTAGCAGCTGAACTTGCCCGCTGACCCTCAACAGACAAGGCCGTCTGTCCACACGATGGACCACGACTCAGTCAGGGAGAGGCTGCAATGACCACAAGCTGAGTCAAGAAAAATACAAACAGAACCAAGCCCCCAGCTATCTTGTTGTTTAGGATTCACAGCGACCCTTATAGACAGAGGAGAACCGTCCCATGAGGTTTCCGAGAGTGTATATAAATCTTTACGGAACCAGAGAGCCTCATCCTTCCCACGAGGAGTGGCTGGTGGGCTCCGGCTGACACCTTGCAGTAAGCGACCCAGCGCTTAGACCAAAGTGCCAATAGGGCTCCTTCGGGTGAAAGAAGCCATTTCAGAGAGGAGGATATGAGGCGGCTCAAGACGTTTGTGCCAAAAATCTTGTGATCTTTCCACTGCATTTGTCCGTGAACTTTTTGAGGTCCCTTATATTACAAGGGTAAGTCAGAAAGTTCCTAGGGTTACGGTTCATGCATGCATGGGGCTGCTGCACACAAAATGTGCTTAAGCAGTGTCTGTGATCAGTGGATGGCTACAGACACGCTTTCTCAATCACGCACTTGTCTTAGTCTCACTGTTGTGGTTAGCTGCCATCGAATCGGTACCGACTCACAGCGACCTTATGCAAGCAGAATGAAACACTGCCCCATCCTGGGCCAACCTCACTACTGTTGCCACGCTTGAGTCCGCTGATGCTGCCACTTGGCCAATCCATCTCGTTGGGGGTCTTTCTCTTTTTCTCTGACCCTCCACCTTACCAAACATGATATCCTTCTCCAGTGACTGGTCCTTCATGACATATATGTCCAAAGTATGAGAGACGAAGTTTGTCCATCCTGGCCTCCAAGGAGGACTCTGGCTGCACTTCTTCCAACACGGATCTATTGGTTCTTTTGGCAGCCCATGGCACTTTCAATATTCTCCTCCAACACCACAACTCAAAGACATCAATTCTTCTACAGTCTTCCTTATTCACTGTCCAGCTTTCACATGCATATGAGGTTATTGAAAATACCATGGCCTGGGTCAGGCGCATCTTAGTCCTCAAGCTGACATCTTTGCTCTTCAACACTTTAAAAAGATCTTGTGCAGCAGATTTGCCTAATCAATATGTTGTTTGATTTCTTAGCTGCTGCTTCCATGAGTATTGATGGTTGATCCAAGAAGAATAGAGTCCTTGAGAACTTCAATCTTTTCTCCATTGATAAGAATGTTGTTTATTGGTCCAGTGGTGAGGATTTCTGTTTTCTTTACGTTGAGATGTAATCCATACCGAAGGCTGTGCTCTTTGATCTTCATCAGTAAGTGTTTTGAGTCCTCTTCACTTTCAGCAAGCAAGGTTGTATCACCTGCATAATGCAAGTGATTACTCTCTTTAGGTGCCTTCAAAAAAATAAAGTTCCAATCAAAACAGTGACTTCTCGGCAACAGGCAGATTTCTAAAATGAACAATACCACCCGTGAGGGAAGGAAGAGACAGGGAAACAGGAAACACGAGGGAGACGTGGGAGGAGTGATGTCAGATTGAGGGGCATGTCAGCACTGAGAGGAAACACAGTGAGTCTGAAACTCTCGAATGGGAAACTGATGATCTGTCCGTAAACCTTCGTCCCATTCACAATAAAAAGTGAAGCTGATTAAAATGACGACAGTGCAGTGCCTTCTGAGGGGCTCTGCTGGACCTGTTTAATTCAGAGCAGAGACGTCAGTTCAGAAGGTCATGGTGACTGTTTCTGGGGATTTCTGTCATCTTGACAGATTTTCTTAAAGGACACAGGATGATGACTGGGGTTCATGATGAAGAAGTTTCAAGGAAATTGAAAGTTGCACTGGTGAGCGAAAGGCTAGGGAAGTTGAGGTGAAGATTCTTTTTCTCACATGACGACGCACCTACTCCTTCGAGGGTAGCCAGGGCCGGTTCTATGAAAATTTCACTGGGAAACTTACTTCATCCACTCGGCAGCTTTGATCTTGTCCCTCTGGGTTTCCTCTTGTTCCCCAAACTCAGCGCATACTGAAAAGGAACACAACTTGAATCCCCTGAGGATGCCAAACCTGCCAATTTGACGTCGTGGAAATGAAAGGCTGCAGAATTATTTGGGGAAATACCAATTTCAGAAGCATACAGGTGGAGGATACGTAGAGAAACAACAGCTTCACAGTTTGATGTTTTTGTTGAGTTTTGTAGTGACACTTTTTGACCGACCCTTGTATGAACTCATTTATGTGCAGTGACTACAACAGGCGGATCCATAGCAACAGCAACAGGTTGTTGTTGTTGTTGTTGTTGCTAAGCGCCATGGAGTCCGTTCTGACCCATAGCGACCCTGAACAGGATTTCCAAGGAGCAGCTGGAGTTTGAAGAAGGACGATGGGCTTCCTGATGAAAATGTCCTAGACCTAGATTAAGGAGCTGTTGCTAAACACTGTGAATGTATAAAACAAAATGCCACTGAACACATGCATTTTCAGTCGTTAATTTGATGTTAGGGAAATTTCACTTCCTTCCTTGGTGCAGTCTCCATGGCAACAGACAGCCAGGCTTTTCTTCCATGGCACTGCTGGGTGGGTGTGAACCACCAAAATTTCGGTTAGTAGTTAAGCTACGCAGGGACCCATAACAACTGGGGTTATTTAAAAGAAGCAACTAGAGGGAGGAGTGTCCAGGGTTTGAAGGAAAAGGGGACGGGAGAACCTTGAGATCTGGCATGGTTTCCAACACTGGAATGTTTGGGAAAGGGCAGATACTGTCGATATGTAAGACACACGTCCAAGTTCAAACGTCAGAGGCTGATACCATCAGCCCATGGCTGCTGTGTTACATCCACACAACAGTCAGAAGCTGAACCTGCCTAGGTGTGTCTGTCAGCGGAGGATGGACAGACACAAGGTGGTCCTATGAAGCCACAAAGAGGAACGAACCACTTAGGGAAACACAGCGGGTTTAGGACATGCAAATGTGCTGCGGGGGGGGGGAGAGGAGGCAAGAGAGTAGGTTTTAAGAAAACAGTTGTTGCAAAGAGTGTGGATCGAGGCCTCATACAGACCCAGGTCCCATGATGCTGAGAGTGTGGGCGGACAGGAACTTTCGAGGACAACACAAACACTGGAAAGAAACGGTGCGCTGGGGTGGTGAGCAGAGCAGGCACACAGGCTACCTTACATTCAAGGCTGAAAATCAAGACTCAAACCAAGGTGCATACATCTGTCCCGCTGTTAAGGTAAAAGGCACCCAGAAAATGATCCGTGTCCGGGACGGGGGTGATAGACTCGCTGTGGTCCAGCCACACAATGGGAGTCACTCAGCCATCACAAGAAATGAACCGTCGAGCCATGGAGAGAGACACACTGGAGCCTCGGATGCACCCAGGACAAGAAGCCAGTCTGAGCACGCTACACACTATGCAATCCCAACTACAGGATGTTTTGGGAAGTCAAAAGGATAGAGACAGTGAACAGGGGGGTTCTGGGACTCAGAAGAAGGATGGAGGGATGAGTCAGGGGAACACAACAATTTTTAGGGCAGTGACACTATTCTGCAGGATCCTGTAATGGTGGGACTGTAACAACACAAAGAATAAACCCCAATGTGCACTAGGACAATGGCCAACAATGATGTGCCAATCACTGATTCACCCCCTACAATAACAGAATGCAATCTATAGTCTGGGTAAATGGTGTAAACACAATGTATCAAAACGGACTTAACTGCCACAACATAGAGAGCACAGTACCAGCATACAAGGGACTTAGTGAGTAACAATGTATCAATATCGGTTCATCAGCATAAGAAATTCACAAGGGACTTCAGTAAGTAACAATGTATCAATATTGGTTCTTCAGCTTAAAAAATTCACAAGAATACATAATGTGCAGGGTTGGGGGGGGGACGACTCTCTATTTTCTGCTAGACTTTTCTGCAAACCTAAATCTGCCCCAGAAAAACATTAAAATCAAAAAACAAAGCAATCTATGGATGATAAAAAATAGCAGTAGCAGACTGGGCCAGCTCTGCGAAGGAGACCTTGAACGTGGGTATGAGGCCCCGCTTTCTCCAGAGTACACAGACAATGCTTTCTGACAGGGACCAAACCCACAGCAAACCAAGCCCACTGTGCAGGAGTCAGTTCTGACGCACAGCGGCCCTACAGGATACAGTAGAGCGGCCGGCCCCATGGGGGTTCTGAGGCTGCGAATCTTTCCGGAAGCAGACTGCCACATTGTTCTCCTGTGGAACTGCTGGTGGGTTCAGACCTCCCACCTTTTGGATCGCAGCTAAGCACTTTAACCGCTGCGCCCCTGGGTTGTGTTGACACAGATGAAGGGAATAAATAAAAGTTATCCGTCTGGACATTACAGGTCAACCAATACAAGCCACACACACAGAGACCAGCCCTGGCCTGCTCCATCTACAAGCTCGGCTGGGTGACCCCAATGGTGACCTGCAGACACTACCCAGGGGCGTCCCAGAGAACGGCTAGGAACCAGAGCACTCCCTAAGGGGCTGGAGGTTGGGGGACCATCAGAATGGGAAGGCAGGGGGGTAGAAGCTCTCACAGTGAAGCAATGCCCCGCAGGGCACAGAGAAACCTTCAGGAAACCTTCATGGGGGTCCATCCTCGGCAGAGCAACATCGCAGCGCTCTTTTTCTCGGATCACGGAGCTCAGCAGGATTCCCACATGACGAGGGGTTTCCTTAAAACCCCCGTGGTCACACTCCCAAGGGATTTGTGGGACAGAGGCCTCCTGCCCAGGAACCTGTGTTTCTGACTAGCTTCCCCTCTCCCCAAATCCTATCGCTAAATATCCAAGTGTCACAGGTAAGATATCCTGGGCTGGGATGAGGTACAGGGGACCAGCTGACCGAGGGCCCCACTCAGAAGGATCCAGAGAAAAGGTCTGAGCCGCCTCAGGGACCACACTCGGCCTGGGTTCCAATCCTGCCTCACTTTGGTAAGCCTGCATGTCCCCATCTGTCAATGGGGTCTCAGCTCTGGTGTGCTTCTGCCTTTGAGATTCCGCATCTTGCAGTGATCTCGGCACACCCAGGCCCCTGTCACCATACATGTTCACATGGCGGTGGCGTGGGGTTACCTTGCCACCGGGGATCCTCACCCAGGATCTTCTCGATCATGGCCTGGCTGGCTAGGACCCCAGGCTGCAGGTCCAGGAGGCCGTCCCCACCTGCGAGCTGGCCGTTCTGTAGGGCTTCCTGAGCCTGCAATTCCCTGGAACCAACAACAAACCATTATGGTCTGGCGATGCAGAGCCTCCTTCAGATCCGTGACGGGCTCAGCAGCCTTGGTCGTGCCCTTCATTGAACCACCCACCAGAGACACATCGGTGCCCAAGCCCCAAACCCTCAAGGCCTGGACTCCCACCCCAACAGCGACATGCTCAGCTGCTACTGCCCACCACCCCTCTTCCCCCAGGTCCTGGCAGGAAACAGCTGCATAGGAAGTCGAGGCTTAATGTTCTCATCAGAGAGAAAATCAAGGCCAGGGGAGTCCATCCCTCTCCTGGCGACCCCGTGTGTGATCCACAGGGTCTCCACATCTCCAGACCTTTCCTCTGAGGTGCCTCTGGGTGGGTCAGTAGTCAAGAGCTTCACTGCTGCACCACTCAGGGGGCTCCTCAGAGGACTATGAGGGGCAGTGATCATGTTCTCCCTTGTCTGACGGATTCCTGAGAACACAGGCCCAATACTAAATATTTCATGAGTGTTCCTGGAGGTGCCGGGGGTTAAGTGTTGGACTGTTAATGGATAAGTCAGTGGTTTCAAGTCACCAGCCATGTCTCAGGAGAAAGATGAGACTGTCTGCTTCCCTAAAGATGTGTGGCCTCAGAAAGCTTCAGGCGAGAGGGTGCAGGGTTCACCAGTGGTGCCCTCTGTGGTAGATGTTCTTAAGTGCTGTCGAGTCGGTTCTGACTCAGCAATGCTGTATAGGATTTCTAAGGAGCGGCTGGTGAGTTTGAACCACCGACCTTGCGGTCCAGTGCTTTCTCCCACGGCACCACACCAGACTCTAGGCATCACTGTGTAACAGCCAGCATGTCCTCATCTGGCTGACCTGATGAGGACAAGCTGCTGGCTCCCCACCTATTCAGCCACTCACATGCCGGCCCACTCACCGAACGTCACACACGGGCGGCCGAAGGTCCAGGGGCCCGTGTGCAAAGGCACAGTGCAACCCGTTCTTGGTACAGTGGCCCCGGGCGTCTGTCTCGTGGATGCAGGTCCCCGTCTTGTAGTAACGGAGGTGGTACTTGCGCTCCGTGTCCCCTGTTGTGCGGTGCAGGTACGGGCACCTGGGGAGCAGAGGGGGTAGGCCCCAGCCGGTCCTCAAGGGCGAAGATACTTGAGGCTCCCACGCACCCTTATCTCATGCAGCGGGCCTGCTCCTTTCACCCAGACACCCACTGAGCCTGATCCAGACACGATCCGTAGCCACTAACCCTCTGCTAAACACAGTGGAAGAGCACACACCTTTGAGACTCAATCAACTTTTCAGACTTGTGTGCGGCTAAGTAAGCACAACAGACCACAGAGCTGTTCACTGTAACAAAGCAAACTGTATACTGGGTGAATTTCCCTTCATTTAATTAAAAGATGAAAAAAAAAAAAAAACAACTCATGTGGAAAAACACGTTTCAGTTCCTGGAATCCGGCTTAGCAACATCATCCTAAACCGAGAAAGGGTTGAAGCTGTCAATGATCTCACTTTACTTGGGTCTGCAATCAACACCCATGGACGCAGCAGTCAGGAAATGAACAACGGATTACACTGGGGAAACTCACTGCAAAACAAAGTGTTTAAAAGCAAAGCTGTCACCGTGACGACTGAGGTGTGTGTGACCCAAGTCAGTCTGTTCAAGTGCCTCCTATACACGCGAAAGCTGGACAAGGACTGAGACTGGAGAAGAGCTGATACCCTTCAGTTATGGTATTGCCAGAGGTAACCGAGGATACCATGGAATTCCAGAAAAAACAAATCTGTCTTGGAAGAAGCACAGCCAAAACGCTCTCTCTATAGAAGCCAGGAGGGCGGGCCTTCATCGCAAGTACTTGAGACATGCTATCAGGAGAGATCAGTCCCTGGAGAAGGACATCATGCTTGGTAAGGTGGAGGGTCAGCACAAAAGAGGGAGACCCCGAGATGGGTTGTCACCGTGGCTACGATAATGAGTGCACACACAGGGAAGGCTGGAAGGACGTCAGAGGACTGGGCAGGGTCTCCTTCCACTGAACTGGGTCACTGCGAGTCATGAGGTGATGTCATTTCCTGTCAGCCCCTATCTGATGAGGGGTCACCCAGCCACTTAGGGGACCCCATGCAAGGAGGAGCTGCTGCAGGCAGGGGGACACGGGAGCCCAGGACACAAGTAATGAGAATGGACAGAACAACAGGACCACTCAACGTACCCAGCACCATGGACGTCTAACTACACAGAACACAGGGCTTCGGAGGAGACGAAGGCGGGACCCGCCGCAGCACACACTGCAGAAACGGAACAGCAGAGCTGGTCCCAGGCTAACATGAGGACTGCGCCCCCTAGAGGCAGAGCCCCCAGAGAAAAGTACCCCCAACACAGAAGGAAGAAAGGCATGGCTAGCGACCTTTTTTTTAAAAATATGTTTTATTGTGAATTATGTGATAGTTTATACGGGAAAACATCAGCTTTACATTCATCCTATTGTATATCCTTTCATTGCCATGGTTACAAACCCCTCCATGCACCATCAACCAACCAAAGGGTATATCCTACAAGCCTGCTCCCCCCCCACACACACACACAGCCCCTCTCCCTCTCTGGTTCTAAAGTCCCCAGCCGTTCCATCTCTCCACGTCATCGTCTCTGCCTTCATCTCTGGTGTCACTGCTTCTCTGGGTAGGGTCCCACACTCTGCTCTTCTCCCTTGATGGTCCTAGGGACCTCCATTCCTGGCCTGCAAAGTCAACCACTCCCCTTGTTTTGCTACAAAATGTCTACCTTTACATTTCCAACCCTCACAGTCAGTCCTGATAATAATTATTCACTACTGTACCACATGAGACCTGTCCCCATCTCCTTTCATCAGCCTCACCCAGAGAATGGATACTACTCAGTGGAGATTCTACCTTCCTCCAGGCCCTCTGGATCTAGGTTCCCTCTTGAAAGCTTGTAAGCCAGTCTCTCCTTGCCTCTGTAGCCCCCCTCCCCCCCCACCCACAGACAAACACCCCCATTTTGGGTAGCCAATGTCCAAGTTGCCCATCCCTGTCCTCTCCATGTGTGGAGGGGGTGGGAATGATCCTTGCTGTAAGGATTTGTTCCCTCTTTTGAGCTACTGTATCCATAGGTGTAGGTCAAGTTCACCAAATTGTATCAGATTACTCTTTTTTTCTCTTCTTTCTTCTTCTAGTTGAGCTCTGATCATCTAGTCATTGAAGCCAGGTCAAGTGGGTATTATCTGCAAGTGTAGGTGTTCTTGTGAATATGCCCTCTCTTCTTATAAGCAGGACACTTCACTCTCCACTCTAGTCCTCTGTGGCTATGTCACTGACTCTGGGCCCAGGAGTCCCCAAAGTCACACTGCTGGCCAACCAGATCTCCACCAGGGTTCCCAGGAGTCTACTGAACCTTGTAGGGCTTAGCTCACAGCTTCATTGCTGTTTACCCCTCACTTCCCCTTGTCGGTGACGAACGTGGTCACCAATCAGAGCGCATTCCCCTTAACTCAGTCTTGGTCGGGGGTTTGCCCTGAGGGGACCCGACCACTTCTGGCTATCTACCTTTAAACAGCAGCGTCCAGTGAGAGTCCAGCAGAGCACGGCAGTTGGATCTGCACACAATCACAGGGGCAGCGGGTAAGGGCAGTATTTAGTTCTGTTGTACAGGAGTGGGGGCAACTAACAGTAATGCCAGTTCTTGAAACAGCCTGGCTGGAGGTCTCCATTCACAGAGGGACCTGAGATGATGCTGACCAGAAGCCACTGGATGAAAGGCACACCACCAAGGGCTCCTAGGGCAGGAAGGCAGACACGCTTCAGAGCTGAGGGCAGAGTGGATATCTGCTGAGGAAGCACGGGGTCCTGACCTCCTCTCTGGGTCTGGGTGTTGGGGTCATGGCCACGTTCAATCACACGCTGCACCGTATTTCAGGAGACCTAGTGATGCGCCAGTTAAGTGCCTGGCTGTCAACCAAAAGGTCAGCAGTTTGGACCCACCAGGTGTCCACGAGAGAAACGTCTGGTGACCTGCTCCCACAGCGTGGTGGCGGTGTATCAACCCATAGCAAGCTTTTACATGGGGTTTCCGAGGCTGTCAATTTTTATGGGAGGGGCATGTTTTCTTCTTCTCAGGTAGAGTGGCTGTGAATTCAAATGCTGACCTTGAGGTTAGCAGCCCAACACGTCACTCCCAATGCCAGCAGGGTCCCTTCCATGAAGACTGCACCTAGGAAGCCCCGCGGGACAGTTCTACTCTGTCACGTGAGGTCCCAGGGAATCAGAATCAGCCCGACGGCAGTGGGCATGGTCTGGAATCTTTACGAGAGCCAATCATCAGACCTTTCTCCCTGGAAGCCTCTGGGTAAGCTCGAACCACCAACCTTACAGTCAGCGGCTACGCCACTGACTGATGCGCCACCAGGGCCCCTTATGTATGTTTAGAAAAAAGGAAGAGGCCTGGTGGCACGATGGTTAAGCACCTGGCTGCTAACCAAAAGGGCGACGGTTCAAACCTACCAGGCGTCTCCCTGGGAGCAAGGCCTAGTGGTCTGCTCCCCTAAGGAAGGAGCCGTGAAAACCTCGTTCTTCCGGGATTCGGAGTTGACTCGATAGCATCTAAGAACGGAACAGCAACAGCCTGATGTATGTACACATTTGGTGAGGTGTTTCAGCCAGGGGGACACAGGTATGGCGGTGTGTAATACACCTATGAAAGTACATTCTCCAGCTCTCCCTGCCAAGAGGAAAGGATGGGGGGCTGACACCCCAACAGTGCCATGTCACAGTGTTTAAACACCCTCCCCGGGAGCTGGAGCGGTTCTTCAGGGCACAGGTGCCAAACCGCTGTGCATTAGGACCGCTCCATTCTGCTCCAGTCCAACTGTGCATGCATGCAGCCTGGGCAGCCTAAGATCTGACCCCCGTTGTACACTTGGGAGGGCGGGGAGCATACCACGGCTGTGAATTCGGGGGGTACTCTCCTTGCATGATGCCAGCAAGTTCCGAGGCTCTCAGCCCCTCCTCACTCTGACCTGCTGGCTACAAACTTAGGGGAAAAACACACTACCTCTCAGACATTTATGGGGTCCCGGCCTTGCTCGGCAAGTGCTCTGGTAGCACAGTCTGAAAGAGCTTGGCTATAACCCCAAAGACCAGTGGTTCAAACCCAGGACGAGTCCATGGGAGAAAGAGCATGGAGGCAGCGTGCTTCTGAAATGATTTCTAGTCTGGGAAATCCTCTGGGGCAGTGAGCTCTACTCTGTCCCCACTAGGGACGGGAATCAACTTGATGCACGGCAGCCTCTGGTTGTTCCGTAGGAGAAAGATGAGGCCATCTGCTCCCACCAAGGTTTACAGCCTCGGAAGCCTTGGGGAGCGGCTCTCCTCTGTACTACAACGGCACAATGAGTCACAACCGACTCTGACCAGTGGGTTTTGGTTTTTTGGCTTGGTCTTGCTCAGCCCTGGACAGGTGCCGGGACAAGTGAGGGCTTCAGAGATTCACGCCCTGCCCTCGTGGTGTCTGGAGGCAGACCCTGAACAGACAGCATGACGGAGCTTCGAGAAAACAGAAACCATGAGACGTGCAGAAACACAAGGTTCTGTGGGTGTGAACGCAGTCACGACAGGTGCGATTTGGAACGCAGATGCTGAGTACATCGGCACCAGCCACCAGACAAGGAGCAATTCCACTCAGGCATCAGCACACAGACCCGCCCAGCGCCTCTGCCTGGAAGCAGGCCAGGTTAAGAGGCGGTGAGAATGTGGCAGGCAGCACTGCCCATGGTTCCAGAACCTTCCAGAACCTCTAAAGACAGCATCTTTCTTCTAGTGGATGAATGTGACCGTTCCCTCTGGGTGAGCAAGGACATATGAAATTAGGAACTGTGAAGAATAAAGGAAGCCAAGAACTCACTCCCCGAATTCCTGCTCGTTCATTCTACAAACAGCAGTTTCACTTTGTGAAGACATCAACTCGCTGCCATGTGCCAGGAGTGAAAATTCCATGTGACATGGGGTGACAGGAAGTCAGAACACAGCCAGTCCCAAAGTTTCACTGGGAGAATGTGCCCCAGGGCCATGGGGAGGGGACATGTG